AAAAAGAAGCTTCCCCCGGCGCCGCCGCCGGCGGTTGTCCCTCCAAGTCCGCCGGCGCCGCCGCTTGCCTCCACGGATGACGAAGATAGTTCCGCGCCCGCGCCGCAGCCCGACGATGTAATGTTATTAACTGTTCTTTAATTAATCATAATTAGCTCGTAATATTTTTAATTAATTATAAACTATCATAATTAGCTCGTAATATTTTTAATTAATTATAATGCTGCATCAAAACTGTTATTATTTATTTATTATATATGTAAATTTCTCTTTATTTTATTATAATAAATCTTTTATTTTTTATTTTTATCTTTTTTTATTGCAGAATGGAAGCACGACTATACAAGGAAGATGGGCAAGAACCATATTAGCTGTTCTGGCGCTTTCTGCAATTGTCACTTAAATAGTGGATTATTTTGTCAAATTATTTTACAATTTAATTCATTTTGGTGAATTTTTTTGGGTTCAATTTTTCTATTTATTAGAGCCTTGTCATGATTTGTAATAAATATATCATATGGTGCTATTTTGATAATAAAGGCTTTCAGTGTTGAAATTTATTTTTAAAATATAGTAATAAATTTTTAATTTGAAATTTATTAGAGATTGTTTGACGCGCGGAACCTCCAAGCAATCCCTTTGGGCATTGCCTGTATCGCTAGTTAGCGCGAGCTTGGATCCCATGAGCCCACCCATTTGAGGACCCCCTCATTTTGTACATATTTAAATATTTCAAAACAAATAACATTTTATGAACGTGTACAAACAGTTTAGCGTATCTAACTAGTCATAAGGGGGTAAACTATATCATATTCAAAATGCATGTATAAACCTTAATGCAGTTCATACCATTCACATTTTTATAACATTCATTATGTAATTTGATTATTTTATAAGTAATGCAAATAAAAAAATGAAATTGAAATACTTGAAACACTCTTATAAATATGACAAATCACAGAAAAGAACAGATAAATCAACATTAGTTGACAAAAAGTTGTTATGGCTTAGAATTAAAAACACGGTTTAAAAAATTAGATCAAATTGGTCAGTTCATCAACGGTCTGGTTCTAGGCGGGCTAAAAACCAAATTAAGAAAAAAGATCGCAAAACAGAAAACAGTGAAACACACAGATTTATATGATTCAGCAAATTGCATACATCCTTGGAGTTCCAGAAGATTTTATTACTCGATAATTACACCTGTCAATCGCCTCGACGATTGCAATAAAGAACAATCTCTCTCTCTCTCCTCTCATTCTCTCTCTCTCTTCCCGAGAGCTTCAAACCGAAGCACGCTATAAGAACCTGAAAAGCTACCAATGTCAAAGAGGGATAATGAAAGGAGCTACCATGCTTATTTATTAAATTCATCATGTCATGAAACCCGTTAGTATTAATCAAATAATTAATGAAGCACATTAATTATTTATTTTTCTCTTCTACAACAAATCATATAAAAATTAAGAACAATTAATTTAGGAATTAATTTTGATTATCAAATCCAATTTGCTGTCAAACATGAGAAAATTTCAATTTGAGCAGAGGATCGATTTTCATATTCGCAACAGGTAGACAACTAGACAACCAAACGGACAAGGAGAATAGAGGCAACTGTTGCAGTTGTGAGATCTATAGATATACCAGCTATGGTGGTGTATAAAATAAACTAAAAGAACGATCTTTGAAGCGAAAAATAGAATGAGAAAATTCACATCAGGAAAAAACAACACAGCGGAACACACAAATTTATGTGGTTTGGCAAATTGCCTACGTCCACGGAGTTGCAGAGGATTTTACTACTTGAAAAATTTACACCAGTTGATCACCTCGGCTTACAGGAGGAATCTTTCACTCTTCATTGCTCTCTCTCTTCTTCTCTCTCTACAACGAGATACACTCCGAGATACACCGGTGAAACTCTACACCAAGATACCCCCAAGAAGACAAACTTACAAAAGAAATAAACTCAATTTCTCTTTTACCACAAACCACCAAGAAGAAGCTAAGAGAGACAATCTTCTTCTTCTTCTTTCTTCTTCCTTCACCGTAAGGAACTACTTCTTGCACTTCTCTTCCTAATATCCCTAGGAAACATTCCTCTATCCCGAGAAAACCGAAGAAAAACTCAAACCGTCACTTCTAAACCCAATGAGAGTCATCTGAAGCTTTTATCACGAACAGGAAGGAACGAATGTATGCTTCGCTTCGCAACTAAGAAAGACGGGAGTGATTGGCGCTTACGGTTCGCGAATCGATGCCAGGAGAGAATGGTCACGACTGTTTCGTGATCTAAGCGGGAGCGCAGAGCGGGAGATCGCGATGTTTTACAATCGAGTGAGCGAAAGCGAGGGTCGAACCGGGATCCACTTCTAACAAATCTCCCACTTCGAGACCAGTACACAAACTACAACATCTCCTTCATCAAACTGATTTCCTCCACCATGAATCTTCCACTCTGAATCCTCTATATTGAATCCTCCACCTCTGCAACTCAAAACCATTTATTCACTCCAGAATACCAACTGAAACTATGCACAACATCAGTTTCTTAAGAGTAACTCCCTCAGTCAACATATCAGCAGATTTCACATAGCTTTGCACATCTGACCTATTTCATGGGTCACTCTTATTTCTGCTTACAACTCTCACTGCATGGGCAACATTCTGCTTCTGCTGAAAGTCTCAACAAAGCTAGCCTTGTACCTCTTACTGACATCACACTCAATCTTCACCTGGTACACCCATTTGTTGTGCAATGTATTCTTCCATGGTGAATGTTCAAGAGCTCCCACTTGCTTGAACTTTCATCTTGCAATATTTTTTCATAGCTCATTGGTTCTTCACTATCTGTCCGTGGAACAATAAGAATTAGTGCCTCGTACCCACTTTCCTCTTCACTTCCATTACTGCCTTGCACTGTGGCCTTTGGTAGATTTCCCACCATCATTTGTTTAAGATATGCTCGTTTCTAAAAATATTAAAAAGTTATAAAATTTTTTTTGTGTGCTTTAAAAATATATTAACTTATTATTAAAAAAAATAATAAAAATATATTAGGTTACATTGATTAAATTTGTTACAAAATAAAAAAAAAATAAAAACCAAGAAATAAAAAAATAATAAACAAAACAAGCCCTATATTCACATAATTAAATTTTTAATATCACATAAAAATTGACTTCCTCATTACATTTTTAAAAGTTAAATACATAATTTCATGCATTGCAGATAAGATAAGATGTCATGTAATTAAAAGATTAAAATTTAGTTTATATCTATTTGAGACAGTCGAAGCTTATTAAAAAGGAACTGTAAAGCTGCTGAAAGATGATCTTATGTTAAAAAAAATTTGTGATGGCTATTTTATAAATTTTTTTTGAAAAAGTCAAACTACAACCAATCAAGATTAGTGAGAAAATATAATTTAGCTTAATTTTTTTGAAAAACACTGTCAAAACTTTTTTCTAAACATGCAAAATTGTGATGCCGTGCGCACCACGACCGTAACGTTACCCGAAACTGACCTTAAATTTACTTTTAAAACTTAGAAAAATAAGCTTGCTTGCATTGCACTAACTTAAGGTGGTATATATGTAAAAAATAATATTTAGATATCCGATATATAAATATTTAGTAAAAAGGTTACATGCATGTAACTCTTCCCAAAAAAAAATTATATTTTTGGCCTCCTATAAAACTAATTTCCCAAAAAGTTAGTTTATAAAAAACTGACTTTTTCTATTTTCAGAGGTACGGGTCGTGTCCCCAAATCGCGCTTCCTCTCGACCGCTCTCGTAACTGGCCCGCTTTTCTCGATCTCTTCCCATCACGTATATTTCCACCTCACCCCATCTAACTTCCCTCTCTGCATACTCTATATCTACGAGGAGTTCATTGCAAGTCCGCGGCTCTCGATCCGTTGCAGCTTAGCTACCGCAATCCGTTCTGCTTCTGCGGTTCGATCTGTATCTGTATCTTTGCACCTTTTTGTTATTATGTTTTGCTGTTTTCATTGATTTGTTTTTGTTCATCTGATGCTCTTGATTTAGATTGTATGCCGATTCTTACTTCTAGGTTCGATTTTGCAGTTATTTTGATGAAATTTTGGCATGTAGCGGGGGTTTTTAAACGTAATGTGAGATATAGGCTGTCCGAACATTTATTTGGAAGAAGTATGAGAATCTGAGGAAGATTTCTAGAACATTTAATCTTATATTTTCTTCAAATATTTGCTAAAACTATGCCGCGGGAATATTTTTGAGTGACTTGAATCCACCCTATTTTTTTAGCCCTTTAGCACTGATTTGATCTTGTTCCCTTAAGCGACAACACTTATTGTTTTTCATATAGTAAATGTGTCTTTTAATCAGGTTTGTTATTTTAGGGTGGAATTTTGAAGGTGGCTCGGGGATGTGGAAGTAATGAAGGGTGTTATTATTTTACGCTCTTCTTGTTATGTGCCAATTTAAAATTATGTTAATCAGTTGGAATGTTAATTTCCTATTGAAAAACTTAGTTGATAAAATACAAGCAAGGTTTGTTATATAAACATAATAGAGCAGAGGCGTTGTATTGTACAAAATGATTGATTTAGGCTCGTCTATCTTCATCAATTGAGCATAATGAAAATACATTTCAACGAAGTTTGTATAAAAAAATGGCTGGGGCGAGTTTGCAAAAGAATTCAAAAGCTTCATCAAATGATGGAGCAAACAAATGTTTCATTCTCATTCGGTTGTTGTTCAGGTGAGCTTGCAATAGAATTTAAACATCATCAAATGAGATGGAGCAAATCAATGCTTCGTTCTGTTTTGTCTGTTTGTTCACTATGCTTAAGTAGTTTCCCTGTATGCAGCTACTTCATGAGTGGTTCCTATTGGTTTTTCTTTGATATTAACAATGCTAGTTTTCAGAGCTCCAAGTTCACATTAATATAATACACCAAAATTCTCTTTTAATGCCATGGTTGCTTCAACAGAATGTGAATTGTGTTATATTTCATAGTTTTTGTGCAAGAAGTTTTTGGGTTAAGTTTTCTAAAACAATCAATTGATGCTATGAATAAAATACAAACAATCCAAATTTAGAATTCATAGTAAACTGACCACTATTTTGACAAGTATTCATTTATTTTGATGAAGGATGAAAAATACACTAAATGAATTTTAAATTGTAATGATCCTTAAGTTAAAAATTCCATGATAAATTTGAAACTATGGGCACACTACATTTTGGATCACAACCCAATTAAAAATGTATAGTGTTGTAAATTTGATTAACATCAATCACAAATTATGTAGAATAAAGAGTAAAAAAGACATAAATTTCTTGAAAAATTTTAGATCCTGCACATATAAGGAGAAGACTTCTTCTCGAACATTGATGAAAATTGCTTGCTACTTCTAATCAGCAATTAAGTTTACACAGTTTATTATTGTTCTTGATCTATGTGTGAGTTACATAAATTTCTTATAGGAATTTTTATTCTAGATCTAGAACACTCGATTATGGCTAGTGGTGGATGTAGCTAAAACTCAAAAGTGGATTAAGCATCAATTTAGGAGATCGTGCACTAAAGTTGGCATGCTAGTAGGAAAAAAAACGCACAATTGTGATTTGAATGTAAATAATTTATGCGAAGATGCCACTTGCTTAATAACATGATTCACAAACAAGTTGTGGAAAGCTAAACATGGTAGTGGGTGCATAATCACATGTGAGAAGTTGCTACAAGAATAAACCATTGATTGGAAGAAGAATTGAATAAAAATAGTAATGTTTTATCCAAATAGAGCTAGATATAGAAAATGTTTACAACCCGATTCGAACGTTCAAATACCAACAATCGAAACAAAATGCGAAACCTAATGAAGTCCAATTCAACAAACCAATGGCCGAATAAATATAAAATCAACCTAATGCAAGGATCAAAGATTTAGTTGGCCCATGAAAATCAACCAAAATATTTGGCAACACATTTAATATTTATAGGCAATATCATAGGCATGCTTACATAGATATCCTAAAATTGAAAATTGAAACCACTAAATTGAAATTGCATAATGCAATTAACTGAAATGAAAGCTTTGCCTTTTTTTTGCGCGGGGGGTGGGGGGGAGTTAAGCATGATTCAAACTTTTAATTTCCCCTTTAACTGCAAAAATAAATATCACTCTCTCAGATTCTCAATTTTCTTCCAATTGTGATTTCTCCTCACATTATCTTAAAAAGTCTCATATATGTCAAAATTTCATCAACACAACTGCAAAATCAAACCTAGAAGTAAGAATTGGCATACCACCTAATACCTATACTCACTCCATGTTGATGGTAAAACGTATACTTATCTCACATCTCAATAATGAAAAAACCAATCAACGTGAGATTAGACATTTTAATTCTCTAAAATTTTATCTTATTTTTGTATCGATTTATATATTTCCTTATGAGAACATTTTCCTTTTGATTGTTAGTATTTATTGATGAAATCATTGGTGTGAGAAAAAGTAGTGCATGTAAATTAATGACCACTGATGCATTAATACATTTAAAGATAATTAAATTTTTTTTTTGTGATGATAATAAAAATACAATAAGTTTCTCAAAGTTATGAGCGGTTGCAAAAGATTATGACATGGACATAAACCTTGTTGGCTGAACTCGAGAGGAAGTTGGATTGGTGTGGTCTCCCCAAGGTAGGGGCGATACAGGTTCTTTCAAACCCATGGGAAGCTCCTCACCATTTGGGCATTATTTGCTATGTTATGGAACTAGAATTGGGGTTATTTTAGTTTCTTTAGCATAAATAATTTGTTTAAAACCTATTATTGGACTTTTTGGCTTGTTTTATGTTATTAAAGGATTTCTTATATGAGTTTTATTATTATTATTATTATTTTTTTAGTGTTGTATCATTTTCTCTTTTTGGTGTGATTGTAACTTGATTGAGAACTGGTGGTAAATCTTCGATGATGCTTGTATGCCTCCATAGCCATTGTTTGACCTCTTGCTTTTTTTACAAAACAAATGCTGCCACCTTTATTTCTCTTTCAAATACTTTTTGATTTTTTACTTTTCCCTTCTCATCATTTTATAAACTCCACAATTTCGTAATTGATTCTTATATGCTCTTTAATAGCCTTAGTTGTGTGTTATTTGCTATTAGAGCCATATAAATTCTAACTTCTCAGGGATTCAATATTAAGATTTTCAAATACTAAATTCAAAATAGCCCAAGCCATCTTCCTTCACTTATCCTAAATCCTACCTCCTCTCACCTTTGGTTAAATGCTCAAAATGCTGCCCTACACCTCATCTGAAACCATAAAGGGATGGAATCCACTATGCCAACAATGATAAACCATAAAAAAAGTGTCCATAAGCTTACCATAGAGGATATGCATTGAGAAATCTTCAAGTATAGCTTAGGCTTGCTAATTTTGAAAGAAGATAACATGACAAAGTCATCTATATATATCTATTAACCTGATGAAGAAGAGGAAGAAATCTATTTCACTAAGAGCCGTTGAGTGATAGAGTGCTAATATCTTGTCGATTTGATATTTAGTACAGGAGAAGAGAATGATTGGATCTGGAGGAGTTTATTGAGTGGCTCCATACATTAAAATTGATCTTCTTGTATAAAGGCATCCCGCTTAACAAAATAGTTAATATAAATTTATTAATTTCAATAAGAGTGTGTCCTTATAATGGGAGAACCTGAAGCTTCAACACCAACATGAAAGAAAAAGCAAGATCATGAATTGGTCTAAAATGAAGAAGATACAACATAAATATCTAGCAGCACACTAAAAACATGATGTTTTTTTGAAGCTTCACAATTTATAACAAAATGACTTATCCATGGTGGTGTACACAGTTGAGTTTGAATAACTTATGTTGAAATGTTAGTGATTGGATCTGAAGGAGTTTATTGAGTGTCTCCATACAGTAAAATTGATCAAAATTGATCTTCTTGTATAAAGGCATCCCGCTTAACAAAATAGTTAATATAAATTTATTAATTTCAATAAGAGTGTGTCCTTATAATGGGAGAACCTGAAGCTTCAACACCAACATGAAAGAAAAAGCAAGATCATGAATTGGTCTAAAATGAAGAAGATACAACATAAATATCTAGCAGCACACTAAAAACATGATGTTTTTTTGAAGCTTCACAATTTATAACAAAATGACTTATCCATGGTGGTGTACACAGTTGAGTTTGAATAACTTATGTTGAAATGTTAGTGATTGGATCTGAAGGAGTTTATTGAGTGTCTCCATACAGTAAAATTGATCTCTTGTATAAAGGCATCCCGCTTAACAAAATAGTTAATATAACTGTTATTAATTTCAATAAGAGTGCGTCCTTATAATGGGAGAACCTGAAGCTTCAACACCAACATGAAAGAAAAAACAAGATCATGAATTTGTCTAAAATGAAGGAGATACAACATAAATATCTAGCAGCACACTACAAACATGATGTCTTTTTGAAGCTTCACAATTTATAACAAAATGACTTATCCATGGAGGTGTACACAGTTGAGTTTGAATAACTTATGTTGAAATGTGAGCTGATAAAGTCAGAGGAGAACACTATAAGATGATATCTTGGAGGTTTGAGGCCATCCGTTGATAAATTGATGTAATTACAACTCTATTGAACCTTCTGGATTCATGACCTTAACTCTAAAGGTGGAGAAACAACATAACAACATTTGGACCACCACATTCTTTAGATAAGGTGTAACTATGAGATAGGGCGGCAATAACAAACCGACCAGTGTGCCAAAACCTTGCCCATGAGAGGAAAAACTAACTCAGGAGGAAGAAAAGACTGATCGGGCTAGTACCCCAAAGAATTTTCCCACCATGAAGTGTTTCAAGTATTATGAATATTGGCACATCGCATCAAACTATCCAAACATAAGAGTAATTTATTTGGTCAAGTAGGGTGTAGTGGAAGAAACAAATAATAGAAACTCTGGAGAGGTAGAGAATGAAAATGAGTCTTAGCTTTCTGCAGATAATGATGACATGTTTGTCGTATGATGAGTTCTCCAAACCAACCCCTTGAGGGATCGTAGTAACTTAGGCATAACATCTTCCATAGTTGTTGTGTCGCGAAGGAGAATGGGATCATTGATGAAATTCTTAGAATAAGGTGTCTGCCCAGATGGCAGACAAGTTAAACTTCACAACTCAGAAATATTTTGAGTCATACTCTCTACTTGATTCAAGAAAGAGAATGAGATTAATTTTGATAAGAGATGTCCAATAGTTTTTTTTTTTAATATCAATTATAAGAGCAAGTGTGGTGTGATGTTGTGCTTGTGAATGTTTATTCTATTTTGTTAGGCCAAATTATTGCAATATGATTGAGGTACATTCATCATATCCACTAGAACACCTACCCATTCATCAAGCCTTGGAACACATTATACTCATGCTTTTGAAGGAATCTGCTTTGTTGAGTGCTAAGGCAGGGTTGGGAATTATAATATCTTGCACTCCATATCAAGAGAGAGGCACCAGTTTGATGATGTTATTGGGATGTGAGAAGGAGCCAACAACTGCATAGTGCAACCTCTAATGGAGGAATTTCATGATGGTTCTGACTACCAATCTACCACCCACTTTATATCCTTTATGACAGATTCAACATGCTATAGATATCATCTTAGGATCTGTTCTTCCCAACCTGCCATCCTGTAAGATGTGATCATCAGAATATGTGGAGTTGCAAAAGCAAGATAAAAATTTGATGGCTTGAGGATTGGTTTGTGAGATTACTTAGTTGATGCCTCATACCAAGCTTGATTTTGTCCGAGGATGATTCATGGCACATTTTCATGATAGCGGGACTGTGAACATGATCACCATCAATTATATGCTCTTTATTCCATACTGGATGATTGTTTGGACCAGTTGCATTAAATTTACAACTTATTTGAGATTGACTTGCGGAGTGGATATCACTAACTGCAAATGAGACACATGAACGAGTGTAAGATAGCTTGCAAGATGGCTGGATTGTTTGAGAGTACAATCATGTCTTTTGGCATGTCTAATGGCCAAGTACTTTTATGCGGCCAATGAATCAAATTTTTTGAGCATTCATTATAAAATTTGTAAATAATTTTTGATGATATTTTAATGTATAATTATTTAGATGAGGAGCATTTGCAACGCACATATAAGTTTATGAAGTTTTTCAGATATAAAAAATATATGGCCACTTAGAGAAGCATCATTTTCTAATAGCAAATGCATACTTTTTAGGATATATTATTTTTACAGATGACATTGAGATTATTATTTTAACAAATGACATTGAGATGGACCCAATCAAGGTATGATCATCATGAATTAACTCGGCCCACAATCCTTCTTTTAGGTGTGTTAGTTTTAGGAATCATCTTAAATCTACTGAAGGTTCATTCTAAACTAACAATTTTATAACAACATCATTGACAAAGCTCAGCAAATCAGACAAATCTGCATGGTTAGATGATTAACATGCTAATGTTGATGCATCAAAGTAGTAGATTAATTGGGGCCTTAGGCTTATATTTTAGCCCTTCTATATTTTAATTAGGTATTTGAAATAGAGTAGATGCCACCAATGTGAGGACCAGAGCCATGAAATCAAGGTGGTCACTCCATCTTCTTCATTACTGGGAATTTCAGTGATTCAGAAGAAAGTATTCTACCAACGATAAGGAATGTTAAGCTATAGTGAGAGCCCTTAGATTTTAGAGCAATTTACTGTTGGCCAATGAGTTCAACATGTACATATGTCTTAAAGCTTTTAAATTTTTGAATAGCCAGAATATGTTAAAGGGTAGATATGTTGCTTGGGTGGAGCTTCTTTCATTTTGCGCTCGAACTTGACATTGAGAACCAAAAAAAAAAAGTAGTTGATGAATTTAGTTGCCATACTTATTTATCACTATCATGTAGTCGAAGGTAGTGAGATCTGAAGTGTTGCAAGACTTATACGCCATTGATAAGAATTCGCTCAGAGATAGTATTTTGATATAAATGCCATAATAGTTAAATGAAAGTAAATCTCTTTCGGCTCACATTGGCATTGGATGTGGAGAGGCGTATCAGACAGTGTCGGGTGTATGATTTAGTTAAGAATTGAGAGCAGAAACCATCTCTTCGTTCCAAAGATGCGTGGGTGGATGTGTGAATAGACTTTATTGCGGGTCTACCATAGGACTGTACAAAATAATGATTTTGTTATAATAGTGGTCGGACCGTTTTTTTCAGGATGACATTTGTACCTTGCTCCATAAAGATGGACGCTGCACATATAGTAGGTGTTTATTTTAGCGGATAATACATCTTCACGGAATACCGGCGACCATTACTCTAGGTAGGGTTGTGAAGTCCATTTCATTTCTAGAGAATGTTATATGAGGAAAGATGATTGCAAAGCTTCATTTCAGTTCAACAGTTCACCCTTAGATGGATAGATAAAGAGAGGTGGTGAATATTAGCTAAAAAAATCTATAGTGTTTTGTGAGCTAGAATATAGTAACATGAAGTCTGCTTTTAATAACTCTACTAGGAAGTTCACATGCCACAACTCCAATGAGATTGCGTGCATACAAAAGCATATCTCACTCAGGGAGTTGGTGCCTATGCTTCTTGCTGCTGAGTTTAATACCGATTCCGAGGCTAGAGCGAGAAGATTCAGTTTTCACATTACCTGGTGAAGCAGAAGAATATCTAAGTATAATATTAATTATCAGAAGTAGGTTTACTAGTCTAAAAAGACTGATCTTCAAGGAAGGTGGCCTGGTGTGAATCAAATTGAAGGAGAAATTTCTATATATTCATTTGTAAAGCTTGAATTTTGGGCTGACGGTCCATCCAAGATTAGTAGAATTATCAACAACATTATGTACAAGATTGACCTACTAGGTGGATACGATATTTTGACGACCTTCAATATTATTGATTTGTCATTGTGTTACATAGATCCAGATGTTTCTAGGGATGAAGGTGAAACCTTTCCTATTCAAATAAAATGATGCTGGCATGAACCTTCTTATCTGAACCCTAGAGGAAGTTGGATGGATTTGGTTGGCCCAAATTAGGGCCTTTCAGGTCGTTCTACCGCCAAGGGAAGCAACCAGCCTTTGGCTCCTATTTGCTACGTTAAACAATTAGAATTAGGTTTAATTTCATTTTTTAGTGTAAATATATCATTTCAAAATTGTTATTGCACTTTATGGCTTGTTTCATGTCATTAATGACTTTCTTCTTTGGTTTTTCTTCTCTTCGAGTGTTTTATATCTTTTTCTTAATTGATCCAAAAAAAAAAAAAGAGGGATCTTTCTTGACACTCACATACCCCCTATTTGCTACATTCTTACACCCTTGTTTCCCTTCCGAATACTTTCAAATTTGTCAATTTCCCTCTCTTCTTCATCTTACAATTTACACAATTCTCTAATCAATCCTCATAGACCATCTACAAACCCTAAATCGGTATCTACTACAGGTTTTAAGATTATATTGTGTTTATTTGGCAAATTTACTAATGTTTGATTTTTCAATAATATCAATGTTATCAATTATTTTTTATTTTTATATATATTTTTTTGTTTTTCTTGGTTGCAAGATTGATACATATGAAATAATTATGAGCGTGGAAGAATTATTTAAGAAGCATCAAGAACTATTCCTTAGTCTAGCATATTTTTGCCCAATGTCTACATGGTAAAGATTTCAGAGAAAAAGAAGTCTACCAGGTTTCAACAAGCTTTTAATTTTATGAGCAAAATTTAGGAGCTAATCCAAGTCTACCTGGTTTCAAAAAGCTTTTAATTTTATTTAGATTATTTACTTCAACTTGCTCTCATAAGATTTAATCCACCAACTTATTTGCTTGCAGAGCTTATTTTAGAATGATAATATATTTATAAGTCATTATTAGATATGCTAAGCATTTATAATATTCAGAACAAATCATGCCATGAGATTTATCGAGAGGTAGGTGTATATTGATCATCTATTATTGTGTGACCATTTGAAGTAAACATAATATTAATTTTATTGTTTTGCTTGTAACTTTATTTTTAAAAATCATAATGATTTGTTTATGATTTTTTTTATATTTTCTACTTGATACCTTTGGCTTAACTATTCAAAATGCATTTGTTGGTCTATATTTTTAGGTATGATAAGTACAGTTTTTGAGGTTGGTTCTGTCTGTGATGACAAGATCTATGAATTTATCAATTTATTGCTATGGTTGGGGAGTGATATGAGATGGCTTTTTATTATTTTAGGATTAGGATGATATTTGTATTCTAGATTGTCAGTAAATTCTAATTTAATCTAATATATGTATAAATCCCCCTCTCATTTATTTCTTCTCTTTAAATTTCTTATATATGTATAGTATTTACTCTCTTTCTGCTCATTTTTTTCGCTTTGAAACTTGAACTAAATGGATTATTCTTATTTTCATTCCATAACTTTCTCTCTCTAGTGAACCCATGATCCCCAACGATGAATCTTCTTTGCCTCCAGTTTAGAATTGATATGTGCTGGTGATTCGTTTGTTGTGATTTGTTTATGTTTGTGGAGTTTAAATATTCATAGATTGTAGCTAAAGATGACAAATTAAATTTAGATAGAATGGATTTGCAAATTTTCAGACTCACATGTGATTATTTTATCAATTGATTAAACTCACATTTTTTTCTCAGGTTGTTTTGGGTGGAGGCTTTAGTTTGACTTTGGCTGATAAGATTTTCTAGGGCAAATTTGAAGATTTATTTATTCTTGGGTGAGCGTTGAATCATATTTTCCTGCTAATATTAAAAATAAGTCTTTCATTTTAAATCTCAGGTAATGGATTTATATTAGATTAAACATTTAAAATTAAATTTTTTTTTTATCTTGTATTTGACATCTCTCTTTTTTTTTTGTTTTGAGAACATCTTTATTCTGGTTGGTAATTTTGATAGATGAAATAATTTGTGTGAGAGAAAGAGAGTGGAGGAGTATTAGCGTTTTTTGTGGAAAAAAAAGATGATATAGGGCGGTTGAATTGCTTTAATAATTTAAGATTTTGATTATGTATTTTGAAGTCAGCCCAAAATTAGTTTAGATTTTGATTAGCTATTTTTTGCTGATCTCTGTGATTTTTTTTTTTTTGGCTTTAATTTAGATTTGTTTTCTTTTGGATTGATATTTGGGTGTGCAGGAAAAATGTTTTTGTTGTGCTAAACTTTATAATGATGTTGTTTCTTACAAGAAAAGTATGTCATAATTTTGATTTTTTTCTGATTCATTTATTTTCATGATAATGGTGTAGAATTGGATAATCTTTTATGACTTAAGCGATGGGTACAAATAGTGCGCAGAAGTTATCAACCAATGATGCAGTGGCCTATTTGAAGGCCGTTAAAGATTTGTTACATGATAATAATGAAAAGTACAATCAGTTTCTCAACATAATGAAGGATTTTAAGACTGAAAGGTTTTGAACTTGCTTATCAATTGTATTTGTATCTATGCTGTTGGTTGTTTGTTTTTCTTTTATTTATTCTTGTTGGTTACAGGATTGATACAGATGAAGTAATTATGAGAGTGCAAGAACTCTTTAAAGAGCATCCTGAGCTAATCATTGGTTTCAGAACTTTCGTGCCTAAGGGCTACAAGATAAAGATTCCTGCGGAAAAGAAGCCTGTTGAGTTCCAAGAAGCATTCATCTTTGTGAACAAAATTAAGGTACTAATCTAAAAGCTTATGGCTTGTTTGGGATCATTTTTCTCTTGGTTTTGTTTTTAAAAATATATTTGTTTAGTGTATTTTTACATGTTTTAATATTTTATTTCTAAATCCAAATTAACTTTTTTTTAGAACACTCATGTAATTTTTAGGTCTTTTGAGCATTTTTAAGAACAACTATATCTCAATCAAATATGCCAGACATGCTTTGTTCCAAATCAAAACATAAACAAAATAAAATAAAAATAAAATGTTGAAATTAAAAAATAAAAGTCATCCCAAAGAGCCCCTTAGTTGTTTACTAGTTTAGATTATTTACCTCAATTTGCATTCCTAAAGTTTAATTCAATCGCTTGTCTAATTGCAGAGGCTATTTCAGAATGATGAACATACTTATAGGTCATTTTTGGATATTCTAAACATGTATAGAATGGAGATTAAATCGATCTCTGATGTTTACCAAGAGGTATGTAGTAATCATTTAATATTACTTGGCTATATGTACTTCAGGTTTGAAGAAGAACTAATCTTAATTTTATTATTTTCTAGGTTGCATTGCTTTTTAAAAATCATAAAGATTTATTTATGGAATTTTTACGTTTTTTACCTGATGCCCCTTCATCAACTACTCATAATGCATCATCTGGTAGACCTTTAATGAGAAATGTCGGGCATCCTTCTACAGAAAAGGTATTCCAATAAGAAATATTTTTATACTAATACCAATGACCATATTGCAACTTAAATTGGTTTTACTTAACACAACATTTGTTTAACATGATTTCTAATCTTGAAGGTAGAGGACAGAGATAAGGATAAAGAACTCGAAAGAGATTACACAAATAGGGGCCTTGAAAGCGATAAAGATAGAGAAAATAAGTTAATTAATCGAGAATCTCCATCCGTATCCAAAGTTGAGGCTAATCATGAAGTTTCTTTATTAAACCCGATTTCAGACCCTCATCCCTCAAGCGATGGCTGCACGCCTAGCTATATTCTGCTGCCAGAAAATGTAAATATTTTATTCCATTTTGCTTTTTTTCATTATTTATTGTGACGATATTTATGAATTTTTTAAATAAATTGCAATTGAATTGCAGTGCTGTACACCACCCGGCCGCAAAACTGAACTTGGCTTATCCGTTCTAAATGATGTTTGTGTTTCGGTGGCATCTGGAAGTGAGGATTATTCTTCCTATCACAGGGAGAAAAACCAATATGAGGAAATATTATTTAAATGTGAAGATGACAGGTAATAAAATTTCCTTTATTCTATGAAAATCTACTTTTTATTATCTTTATTTTGTTGGTTCTACATAATGATAATTTATTATTGTGAGATTTTTTTTTTGCAATTTCAAATGATCTTTGAGAGAGATGATTTTATTAGCAATCACATTTTTCTTCGTTTGCTTACTATTATGACTTCAGGGATGTTTTATAGTTTGATGAATATTGGCTGCTCATTTTATTTAGTGTGCACTGCTAAAATTCTCATTTGTTAATTTTTCAATTTTGTGCTTGTATTTAGATATGAGATGGATATGTTATTGGAGTCGGTAAAATCAACTGCTAAGAGAGTTGAGTTATTGCTAGAAAGGATGCAGCATAAAATCATTAAACCAGATTCTCCATTTCCCATTGAGGATCACTTAACATGTTCGTGTTCATCATTATCATTTGCCCTGTGTGCTTATTTTCATTTTTCACTTAATTACTTTTACTAATTTTGAATCCTACCATTTTGATAGCTCTAAATTTGAGGTGCATTGAACGGCTATATGGCGATCACGGCCTTGAAGTGATGGATGCTTTGCATGAAAGTGCTGGTCTTGCATTGCCTGTCATATTGACCCGTTTGAAGCAGAAGCAAGCGGAATGGTCTATGTGCCAGGCCGAATTTAATAAGGTCTGGTCTGAGATTTTTGCAGAGAACTATCATAAATGGCTCAATCATTCCAGTTTATGTTCCATGCAACGAGATATGAAGAGCTCAAGTCCAGAAGGTACTTGGTTGTAATTTTCTTTTTGAATGTTTAGTGCTAGCACAAATTTGAATCTTAGCTATAACTTCCAACATTCTTAAAAAAGAAGGGTCTAGTTGGGACGGCTGTAGCTTTTTGTAAACTTTGATTGTCAACATCTTACGAAGTTGCGGTGTAAACTATATATATATAGA